CGCTGAAGTCGTCGGTGTTAACGCGAGTACGACAAGGAACATCATTAATGCCTACAAGCGAGAAGGCTCAAATACACAGCGCACCTGCGGTGGAAACAATAGGGAGAAGCTGACTCCCAATGTATTGCAGCGCGTCGAAGAAGCGGTTAAACGGCACTCTGAGGACACGTTGGTGCAGCTGCAGATGCGCCTGAGAGAGAATGGGATAAACCTATCAGTATCCTCTGTCTTCAACGCCCTCAGAAGACTAAAGATAACTCTCAAAAAGTGTCATTACGAGCTCGACCGAGTCAACAGTGCCACGACAATCGCTAGCCGACAGGCGTACGCTCTCGAGTTCTCGGCACATGCACCTTCTAACAAGGAGAAATGCATCTTCATATAGGAGAGTGGTTTCAAACTTCATCTGAGGCGAACTCAGGCTCGCTCAAGAAGAGGGACGCGCGCGAACGTCGTGTTACCCACAGTCAGAGGTCGCATGGTAACCCTGATTGTTGCAATGAATAACCAAGGCGTCATCCATTCAAAGATTATTAACGATGGCACCTGCAATGGTGCGAAGTTCTCAGCATTCGTCGAGGAACTGGTGGCGCGTGTAAGCTGCATAGTGGAGATGAACGGCGTGTGGCTGATCATGGACAATGCCAAGATCCATATGCCTGATGAGCTAAGGAGGATCCTTGGTTCGTCTTATCACCTGCAGTTCTTGCCGCCCTACTCGTGCATGCTAAACCCGGTAGAACACGTCTTTTCAAAGGTGAAAGCGTCGGCGAGACGCCTGCTTATTAACCCCACAACTGAGCAGACGCTGAGCACGGTCATTCAGGACAGCGTTGGGATGGTAACGCAGCAGGACTGCATGAACTGCGTTCTCAATAACATGATGATACTGACGAAAGCGACAGCCGGACAACCATTCGTCAACTGGTCTTTACTATGGTAACTGCCTTATGTTTTGTTAATACACCATTTCCATTTCAAAATGTGCGTTTTCAATATTAACAGTTGGCTTAGCGTGTAAGAGCAGGACGGTCACCGAGAATTCGAGAGCGTACGCCTGTCGGCTAGCGATTGTCGTGGCACTGTTGACTCGGTCGAGCTCGTAATGACACTTTTTGAGAGTTATCTTTAGTCTTCTGAGGGCGTTGAAGACAGAGGATACTGATAGGTTTATCCCATTCTCTCTCAGGCGCATCTGCAGCTGCACCAACGTGTCCTCAGAGTGCCGTTTAACCGCTTCTTCGACGCGCTGCAATACATTGGGAGTCAGCTTCTCCCTATTGTTTCCACCGCAGGTGCGCTGTGTATTTGAGCCTTCTCGCTTGTAGGCATTAATGATGTTCCTTGTCGTACTCGCGTTAACACCGACGACTTCAGCGGCTTCCCGAGTAGTTTTGCCGTCGACCAGCACAAGTTTTGTGAGAATTTCTCTTTGCGCAAATGATGTTCGCCTGCAGTGCTGTCCCGTCGGACATCAGCTCTCCAGTTGTTCGTCACTCATTTTGGTCGTTTCGTGCGGCACGGAGCTAATAAAGCTAAGTTGTGTTGGGTGGAACCATTATCGTATGCTCGGCCCCAATAGTGGTACCGCTGCGTAGGTCGGTCCACACACCCAGACAAAACACACGAATTCCTATGGGGGGGGGGGTGTAGGGGAAAATAGGTCACTGATTTTGACCGAGACGAACGGCACTCATGTCAAGAGAAGGGCTTACACAATCACCCGCTACGTGCGCAGTTCGGTTACATTATCGTGGCCACAATGTGGCCTGAACATCGTGTAATCGGTCCGCTCCTCAGAAGTTGATATGTTGCAACAATAGGCTATAGATCTAGACTGGTTTTGCTGGGGGTCATTACAACCTACGCGGATACAATAACGTGGCAGTTGCGAAAGCTAATAGAGAGACGAGCGAAGCTGGGACACCGCCTACATGCTTCATCCGACATGGTCTCATTGACCGAATTGGTCAAGGTTCCCTCTAATGAGAATAACGGTGCACATTGAGGTTGCGCATCGCAATCCACTCACAAAATGATTGATACACAATTACCATTCGGACGTCCGATTTTCCAATTGTCACACACCTACACAGGTTGATGCGTATGGGCACTGCACACCAACTAGGCGAATGTCAATGGGGAGAGGGGAGCGTAGTTCAGAACTTCGGTCGCTGCTCACGATCAAGCAAATGTTTTACAGTGTAGCCCGCTGCTTACACAATGCCGGTGTATTAGCGTTATCACAATGTATATTCTGAACATCATTCAACAGTCTTACTGCTCGTTTCGTACCAACAAATTGGCGAGTTGCTACTTAGATTGCAACGTGTTCAATTTGTTTTGCAAAATGTCCAGTTTGGTCTGCAAAATGTCCAGTTTGGTTTGTAAAATGTCCAATGTTGTTTGCAAAATGTCCAATGTGGTTTGCATAATGTCCAATGTGGTTTGCAAAATGTCCAGTTTGGTTTGTAAAATATCCAATGTGGTTTGCAAAATGTCCAATGTGGTTTGCAAAATGTCCAGTTTGGTTTGCAAAATGTCAAATATGGTTCGAAAAATGTCCAATTTAAAGTGAAAGTGGTATATATAGTTCGGAGAGTTTCGATTGCGAGTTCGTAGATTGCGCACTCTTTAATGTAATCGTATGCATCGGTGGAAACATAATTCGCCAGAATCCTCAATTTGCTGCACGGTAGTGAGTTGACAGTGTCCAAGAAATAAGTAACTATATAAAACCAAAGGGTCCACTGCTTCGCCGAATTCGCGTAGTTGGGATTAGCATCGTAATGTTCTGGTCGAAGGATTCGATCCATTTCTTGCTGAATAAATTGTACTGGGATTGAACGAGTCGGAATACAACGAGTGAGAAGAGTATGAGCACGACAGAATAGCCTTTATTCAGCAAGCAACTGAGGTAAGTAGGCTGAAGTGAAATACGGAAAGATTAGTATAATTGGGCAATGAGCAGTTCACATAACATACGGGCGGTACACGTCAAACTCGGTATGGACACCTGCTCAGTTGCGCTGCCAACGCGGACGCACTCTCACTGCTGGATGTTAGGATCTGTCCGTACGACCCCTCCATCACTGGTAGGTCGGCTCCCGGTTTCAGGCACTGCTTCACGTAAGCAAAATTCTCTTCGGAGCCGTCTTTTAGGCGATTGCGCTTTGCTCTCCGAAATGATGACGCTTGTTCGTATTTGTACATATGCAAATATTTCATTGCCTTCTATGTGCCTCTTAGTCATCGACCGAACTAAAGATAAGGAATTTGTCCCACAGTCTGCGCTACTGCCGAACCAGTTTACCATACGCCTTATCGAACTAATGTGACTTGACCGGCCCGACTTTCTGACACTTGGGGATCACACACAAATTACATAGTGACTTTACTCCATTTTCTAACTAACTAACAAGGTTCAACAGGTGCAGCTTGCAGCAGAGACCAATTCACCTGGCTCGCTGTTTGAGTTAGCCCGTCAAAGACCGCTTCCCAGTGGTTATAAACAGGTCCCAGTGCATGGAAATACTGCAGCAGTAGCTCCGGGTTGGCAATGAGAATTGCGCGGTCGCTTGTTTATAGGGACTCCAGGTTTTGGACATCCTGCACATGTTCGCAGCTTGCTAACACCAACTTTAGACATGACAGAATTGGACGGGGTGTTATGTGCTAGATCATGACACACGAGGAGCTCTCAGACAGCTGGATCCCTGTCTAGGCGAATATACACCCTCTCACCTCAGCCTACACAGTTTCGGGCTGACCTCATCAGCAATAGTTGCCCAGCTTGGCTGGTACTTATCATCAGTGATTTACCAAGGCGGATGATTTGCCTAACGTTCACTCCGTCCTCACCCACTTCGAGGAATTCATCGACCAAACTGTAGAAACTCAATGTCGTGATCATAGCATGGAGACTTGGATCGGTAGCCTCAAGGGCATGAGCGATCAATAGATTTAACCGCCATTAATCAATCGAAGCCGATCCTGTGGGAGGATGATGACTTGGAGCCTTGCTTGATGTCTTGTTGTTGATCGACAGCCAATAACTTCTCTTCGTTTCGCGGCCTCTTCTCTCGTTGAGTATTCCATGGCTGAGTCATCGGACATTCGTCTTTTGGGTTTTTGGAGCTAGCAGAGTACGACGTTAGTAACGATTGGCCTCAGTTGGTGTGCTACTTTTACAAGTCATGGAACAGTAATAACTTGTCAAAGCATGGAGATGTTGACTGGATTAGATCTCGGATGGAACCTGGGCCAGTGTGCATGACATTCAGACATTTTTGGTCACGGTTTACATCGGTTCATGTCATAACTCTCAATGGTTACCTTCGGCTGCGACGCTTGTACAAAGTGTGAATGAAGTCCTATTTAATGAAATATAGAAGACTATACGAGTCAGCATGTAATCCAACCCATAAATACGAAAGCTGGTATAGTAATCGGAGCACATAAGGGTACTTAACATGTGTCCAGCAATTTGAAAAGGAGGATCGCAAAGTGATTACTTCTGTATTTTGGAAAAATGGCTCAAATATTACCCAAAGTAGTAAGGCAAATTTTGCAAAACGGAACTACAAAACCTGCAATAAGTTACCAGTCAAAATGCGATCCAAAGAATGCGAACTCCGAAATTTCGACGAAAATATCCCAGCGCACCAATAAATCCATCAAGAAGGAATCCTGACAAAACACCTACCGGGATGGGAAACCGAACGCCGCTTTTTATTTATCTGAATCATGCTGGTGGCCGAAAGGGTTGTGTGCTTGCGTTGTAATCATTGGGTTGCCAGTTCGACCCCGCGTAATTGTTATATACCCAGCCTTCGCATGGCTGGTGGCAGCGAAACGTCGGTACGGTGTGCCGGCGTACTACTGGTGTACTTATTCATAATCATACTACTTTTATTATGATATGATGAGTCTTCAATCCTGTGACCGTCGCATTCAAACGCGCGGATCATGATCAATCAACCAAATCTAGGTGGGTTTTGATGGGATGCATGTGGTTATTTGATTTGGATCATCCTCAGTTTTCCGTTCGACTGTTTTACTTTATACCACCGTATGCACACTTTTTCTCTTTAGAGCACTCTTTTTCCGTCTTCTTATGTTCTCTACAGGTTCGGGTCATGGAGTCTGTTTTGGAAACCAACGTGTCTTTCAAGGAATCGGTCCTGGTATCATTAGATAATGCGATTTCCGAACGAAATCCCAATGAAATCAAACGTTTGCTCCTATCTGATGATGCAGTGGCGCTAATAACCGATAATCTCAGTGAAATTGTGAGCTGTACATGTAAATGGATATGCAAACTGCACACTTCTGCTGGTGATAATGTCCTACTCTCATTGGTGGAATTTCTTGAGACTCTTTCCTTTCGGTTTGACGTGGGTGAATGCTTGCTTCTAGTTACAGGGCAGCTGGGGTTATTGCGTGGCAAACCCGCTTCCATGTGGCTGTTGAAACCGCTTGCACACTGTGTGATGGCGTCCGGTTTCACCAGATTTTCCCGGATAACCCCCGTCCTTGATGAAATTACCCAAAACCTGTCCCTCCTCACCAGTTCCGGCTCCCACTTACAACATCTTTTTTCTTATACCACTTCCGCTGTTGATTTTTACACCCATATTTTGACGGGATATCCTTTTGGTGAGGTTGGTAATAGAGACAGTTATATTTTAAGACATATTTTGTTCCTCTTCTCTTGCCCGTTCATTCTTTTGTCCGATGTACCCGGTATTCAAGATCTTCTACACCGGACTCTTCAGTTAATACCCAAATTGTGCTGTTGTTCACTGTACAAATTTTTCATAGAGTCATACGAAGAACTGTGCCTTAGTTGCCCTCGTCCGGATTCTAATGGTACACCAGCCTTTATTATGCTCCCGGCGTGGTTGCGAATTTTATCGTATTTATTTTTCAACGTCACTCCACATGTTCATAACTTTTGGCCTCTAGTTTTCTCCCGTGATTACCACTTTGTTCTAGCGTACGATTTGTTAAGAAATATTCTCAATGTGGACAATCGTTCTATGTTCCTCGAACCCAATACGCATGCTGTATTCAAGCCTATGTCTGACTATGTTTACGACTCTGTTCAGTTATATGCAATAAGTGTTCTCTTGAAACTGGTTTCAATTTGCAATCATCCTCTCTCTTTGGCTTGGTGGACCGAGAAAAATGTTATTTTACTCGATATATTGAAGCATCTCGCTATCAGACCGGTTTCTGGAGAGTCATTGCCCAGGATTGTCACCGAGGCAGTTGCAGCTGTTGACCGACTGTTGTCCCTAAGCACATATTCAGCACAGTTCCACTTGTTTTCTCGGCTCTTGAAACCGAATCATTCCCAGGAACATCACGGTTGGCGCGGCCACCTCATTACCGTTTGTAAAGATTACATTCACAAGGCCTGGATGGATTGCCTAGAACGTGACATCAAGTCTGTCATACATGATGAACGAGCACGTGGCGAAGAGGAGGTGACGCTACCTCTCCACACCAACACTTTGGGTCATTTGTGCGAATTGATTTTCGTTTACCCAATTCCATCTTCCCGGGATCCGCTAATTGACCAAAGTAGTTGGGTTTTGGCTGCTTTGAATATGGCCTTGTTTCTTTTGATAAGATGCGACGCAGTGAGAAATGACCCAAGGAATTCAGTGGACTGCCAGTCTGTTTTAGATGGCTTGCTCCGAAAGAGTGGGCTAGACTCACATCTGTACGTCTCATTCTTGCGGCCACTGAATGCCGAACTGAGTACCGAATTACAGCGGTACGAAGCGCAGATACACGTTCTGGAGACGGAGTCCTCCAAGACAGATTGTAACCAAAAGGAAAAAAGGCGGCTACTTGGACAGTTAGATGTAGCAAACTCCACTATGTTGCGCTTACGGCTGATGCGGATTACCTTGGATCGCGTGAATAAGGCTCTCAAGGACTGTTCAGTCACTTTCAGTGTATAATTTTCCGGCGCCCAAAATACATTTCGTTGCTAAGTGGGCTTTTCCTCCCATGTAATGATTTCAAAGATATACTTGCGCTTATTTCGTTTCTTCCAGGCAAAATGTCCGTTTTGTTCAAGTTTTCTATCTTCCCCCTGAGGTTCGTTCGGCATTCCCGTTTTGTCTCAGGGTAAGTTGACTTACCTTTAGTTTTGTTTCTTATGCCTATTGTATCTGTATTAATGTTCCGTTCTTGTATCAAAGCGATCTTTAAATGTGTGGCAAAGTCATTCGTTTACATTTGCTGGCAAGCTTCTTTCGTGCTACTGGGTGCTTCATTACAATCTAGACAGATACCACTGGACAGCATTTCTCTTTCAGTTTTCGATTGCTTGTTGTCGTTGACACGCTTGAACCATTCGGATCATCAACTACCGCGCTGTGAGTTGTCATTACACGATCATTTGCGCACTCTGCAGGACGCCATTTTCATCGTCTTCCATGGCGTTGCAGTGTCCCATTCCATTTTGGACTCTGCAGCCCTGTTCCGCATTATCTCTCTTTCTGTTACCATTTTATTTATAATACTTGGACCGTAATCGCCCGGTGGCCGAAAGGATTGTACGCCCTACTTGCAATCCTTAGGTCACCTTTCCGAATCCGCGTAAGTGCGGGTGTCCTCGCGGTATACTCATCCCACGCACGACTAGTGGCGGTCAAGTGGCAACGAAGCGTCAGTACAGTCTGTCGGCGTACTGCAGACGACTTGAACCGTATCTCAGTACTTTGTTGTGGCGACCATTCCTGATTGGCTTCAACTTCTTTTCCTTTATCCGCATAATGGATGGCTTGTGTCAGTTAGTAGCCACTTACTCGATTCGACAAAGAATATGTGCTTCTTGATTGGCGATAACTAACAGTTCCGATCCATCCAGGTCTAGCACCAAAATGCGACGGATCCGAGTACCTTGATGCTCCTCGTCGAACGTAGTTAGGAAAACCAGGAAAATAACATGAAGAAGATAATGTTCAAATCAAGTCGAATAGCAAATCTATGGCAGCCAATGTTCATCTGACGCTGGCCGTCATTTCGCTTGTAGGAACGTGCCCACAAACCTCATCACTGTAGAGATGCTGCTTAAGAACTCTGTCTGTTTACACAGAATGGTTTTCAGCTACCGAATCATCGAAGCCTCCGCAAGCCCAATCAAGAGGGCGTCGCTTTTTCGGTTAATTATTCTAAATGATTTACGCAGGTTTTGCGCTTGGGACGGGCTAGTGCTTGTCGAGAAATAAAACTCACCGGAGGCTCTGAACCCTTCGCGACCAGGTTGAGCGAATATGCTCTAAACTCTATGCGAATGGTTTCTTTTCAGCACAGCCAGTGTACTCGCTACCGCGAACGCAGTTAATCAGCTCATCATCAACATCAACGGTACATCAGCCATCCGAACTGATGCTACGCTGCCGTACAACCATGGTTACCTACGGAATGAAGAACGGTAAGAAATAGAGAAGGGGGACCTGGCGCAAAACCTTAATACTATTAACCCTCAGGTTCATGCTGCCTACACCTTGTCAACAACATACCATTACAAACAGCTGGCTATCTTGCAAAGAAAAAGTGGTATCGGGAAGACAGCTTCCCTGTAGCTTTCACTGCCTTGCGTCATAATCAGCCATTACCCCGCAGATAACTCAGCGCCAAACACACTTTAAGCAAGCAGTCCGACTCGGATACGACAGCAGATGCGTCACTGATGAAAGCTATGAGTTATCTCCTGTAAAATCTCGAGCCAAGCACAAGGCGAGTCACGTAGACTTCAGAATGGAAGGCAGGATGGACCAACAGCACCCAGTTTGGTCGTCAGTGACTTCATTTCCCGCTGTCAAATTAATTTCTGCCCACCTCGGGCCTTGCGCCATTTAGCATCTGGTAAACGAAACGGCTCTCCTTAGTAAGAAGCGATCGGGTATACGTATTATGTGCCCAAGCCAACGCAGATTGTTCAGTGCTATCAGTTTTTCTAAGGAACTAGCTTGAGTACTACTGCTTAGCACTGGTCTGGGTACGCGGTGTTGCCACCCGACACAAGCCATGCTTCGTAGACAATGACGATCAAAGATTTGAAGTCATTGTAGGTCCTTAGATTGAGGTGACCAAGTCTCACTTCCATAGAATAGTACGGCCTTCACTGTGGCTTTGTAAACATGGCCTTTCAGCTGGAGGGAAACCCTTCTCTGACACCAAAGATGTCGCGGGTACAAAAAGTCAGTTTTGGCTTTTGCAATAGGTGAACTGACTTCAGTCGTTATGCGCCCATCGTTGCCGATGTAGCTGCCAAGCTAAATGAAGCGATCAACTACCTAGTTCCTAGCTATCAAGGGTCAAGGGGTCATAAAATGGCTGTTGATCCTCTAATAGCATTTTGCATTTTGAGGGTGCGAAGCGCATGCCAAATAATGGGACCACTCTAGAGAGATTATTCAACGTTTATTGCGCCTCCCCAACATTGTTAAAAAGCGGGAGAATATCGTCCGCCATCCTGTTTCAAACACCAACCTGGAGGATCAGGAGACTGATTTCGTCTAACCACTGACTAACCTGGTAAGAGTAGCTCTCAGGGGGCGGAGCGGCCCAACCCATTATAGCTTAGTGCGTCTACGAGATATGCAAATCGTCACACCACGTAAAAGGTTCGATCTCGTTGCGGCGGAGCTGGGCAGGTAGACCTATGAGGTGACAACTCCAGTAGAATGGACGTACAAATAAACCCTGATGTATGCACTGAGAGTCACTAGTAAAACAGCGACCTCGAAATCCCCAAATTTGTGACTGCACCATAATCGCTAGTGTTCCTGATAGCTGTCGTGTACTCTTCCATACTTTCGCCCAAGAAGACGACATGTACTTACCCGGTTGCTTTTTTATGCCTATTATCACGTGCTCGGTCGACCGCATACTTATTTCTACCGATTTGATGCGGTATTGGTTGATAATACACAGGGCGACCAGTTGGCGCGTATGTTGAAAACATAACTCAGTCAGCGCAGACGGTTTGATCTTGGCAGCAGATTCAATGCTTTACTAAGGAGTCTGTACTCAGACACCAACTTGCTGATTCCAGCACTACTTACTCCACGCTCCTGTTTTATGCGGATAATGCTCCGCTTGTATCGGTGATCAGACACTTCCGAAGTCTTAATGTCTTCCGCGGAAGGCTCTAGGGCAACATCACATATCCCGCAGTCAGACAGCAGCTGTGTTCCTGGACTTAAAGAGTGCCTCCGACTGAGTCCGTTACTCCATCCTCTTCCGCGTACTTGTTCAGATGGGTGTACCCAACAAACATGAGAATTTTTCGCGTTCTGTACATGAACACCACAAATCGCGTTAAAGTTTGCGGTGACTACTCGGATGTCTTTCGGACAAAAGTGGCGTTCACCAGGATTGTCCCATTTCACCATTTTTATTCAGCGTTGGAGTGGATTTCATTATGTCATGTTCGGTTGCCCGATCTTACGATCTAGACCTTGAAATGTTGCCCGGTGAAAAATTGCCTGACGTGGATTGTGTGGACGATATTATCTTGCTGCTTGACAGTTGCAAAAAGACAGTCAAACATAGACTCTCTGAGGTGCTCCCATCATCATTTATGCGTTTTACATCAAAGTTCAAAAGGGAATTGCATGGGCGCCAGTTATTTGATAGCCCTTTAACTCTTGACTGCGAGGAATTAGAAGTAGTTTACCCCTCCATCTACCTTAGTAGCCGCATCAGAAGCGATGGGCGTGTAACTGCGAAAGCTCGGACCGCCTTCATAAACATGCGACATATATGGCGTCGGAAGAGGCATTCTCCCGGTTTGATTGCTTGTGTACAGGAATGCAGTGAGGTCTGTCCTACTATCTGGTGATGAGACTTGGTCTCTTCTGTCTGAGCATTTGAAACGCATCCTAGTGTTCGATCGCTGGCGCTTGAGAAGCATTGCTGGTACCGGATGCCACCAGCGTGTCCGCAACGATGATGTATCCAGGCGAGTGCTATACAATGATGATCAGACCAGTTCCTTAGAACAACAGATAGCACTGAATATGTTGCGTTGGCTTGAGCACATATTACGTATGCCCGATCGCTTCTTACCGAGAAGAGGCGTTTTGTTTGCCAGATGTTGGATGGCGCAAGTCTCGTGCCGATCAAAAATTACCTTGGCAGTGGGAAATGAAGTCACTGACGACCAAACTGGGGGCTGTTGGTCCATCCTGCCTTCCATTCTGAAGTCTACGTGACTCGTCTTGTGCTTGGCTCGAGATTTTACGGGACTTAAATCATTGATATTATCAGTGACGCGTCTGCTGTCGTATCCTAGTCGGACTACTTGGTTAACATGTTTTTGATGCTGTGTTATCTGCGGGGTAATGGCTGATTATGACGCGGGGCAGTGAAAGCCTCAAAGAAGCTGTCTCTCCGATGCCACATTATCCTTGTACGATAGCCAGCTGTTTTTGTCGGTGTGTTGTTGACAAGGTGTAGGTGCCTTATCCCTATGGGTTTATTTATGTTATTTAGGTTCTACACTAGTCCCGTATTTTCCCTCTTATTATTCTTCAATCCATAGCTCGTTGTACGGCTGTGAAGGATCAGTTCAATCAATAGATGTACCGCTGTTTTAGGGAGTTTCGGTGCTGCGCTCTCTTTTAGCACTGCATTTTATAACCGATCGATTTCGCCTTTATTTAGACTTGTCAGACAGAGATAGCTTGAGTGTCTTTGTCACTATGCCGGAGCGCGAAATTTGGTAGGTCAGGTTGTTCTGGTGGCAGACGAACTGTTCGCTGAGCTTGGCAGGTTTGTTACAAACGTTTCGTCACCAATCGAGGTTACCTCACTGCGTTAAGTGGCGTGTAACCAGTAGCGTAGCGTATGCACGCTCATAGAGGCTTCCCTACGCTACGCTACTGGCTACACGCTACTCAACAACGCACTGATGATGTAACCTCGATTGGTGACGAAAATTTTGCAACAAACTTACCAAGCTCAGCGAACAGTTCGTCTGCCACTAAGCCAGAGATCCACGAGCAGCATAGGCCGTGAACCATATGTCGGGTCCCCCTCTCAGATCAGTCGGACCAGTCCACATCAGAACGAAACCGATTGGTCATTGAGTGCAGTGTTGGCAGAGAGCCGCTCCGAAACTCTCCACTTTGGAAACGGTCCTACTGATCGAATTGCTAGAAGATTGCTTCACATCAAACCGTGGCCTCAATTGAGACTGCTTGTCGCAATCTAGACACATGGTATGTACTGCGTACCCAGCGTTGTTGTTGTTGTTGTTGTTTTTACTTTCCGCATGCGGCACTGTAAGTCTTGCCCATGAATACTTAACGAATGAATATATGTAATGCGCAGTTTGCTTTCAAGTAATTTTACCACCAGAGGTCATGGAATTGCTTTAATAAACGACGTAATTGGCCACTTCGAGTGGTTAAGGTAGCGAAGGGCCATCCCGCAGTAGTTTGTATTGTGAAAACACGGACAAGTAAAGGACGCGATTGTAATGTGTACACACGAACAAGTCCTTCTTCTGACATACGGTTGGTGGCCTTCCATTCCGGATTTGTCTGTCACCACCGAGACAGCCCTAGAGCGCCTGCGACCACAGAGGGACAGTGGGTGATTTGCGCTGCGCCACTCATAACCTCAACCACACACCCATTCCTAGTGTAAACCCGAAGGAATAAAACCGGGAGGCATGTGGATGGGAGCCACGTTTCATCAACGGAGCTGACCCACACTCCTAGATGCTCATCAGCGGCAGTCCGGTTTAATTACGGTCGTACCGGAGGCGGTGACTGGGCCGTAGCCCGCTCACAGACTAGATTCATGAAACCACTCATTCAGCAGAGCGCAATCACGAAAGCGGTGCATTCCGCCCCACGCAGCAACATTTCACAATCTTGAGCTAGTATAGACCAGGTGATAATTTTCAGACAGGTAGGCATCTTGTCGACACGTCTGTAGCTTGGTAACACGCACATTTATTCACACATGAGTCACGTGAATCTCCAGGCAGACCGTATCTCGTGACGACCAGTCACAACAGTTTACACCTTGAAGATTCAAATCAAATGAGGGAGTTTGCAACCTTATTCTACACAGCCGCATAATCCGTCCCGACAGAGCTACTTTTCATTCGCACTCCCTTTGTGAGCGCGTGATCTGCTACCTGATTGAATTTCTGTTTAGCTTGCGAAGCCTTGTTATGCATTCATCACCGCTGCGACTAAAAATCAACCGACTGATTGCTCTTTGCGCAGTGGCGTGCGCTGTTATCGGTAGAAATCGTTTTTTGGCAACATCGGTGGGTTGTGACATTTCACGTTCACTTCCGACTCATCATTTTCCCTGCTTTTCGTTTCTCATTATTACGACAATCGTAGTGGTATGCAGTTGAGCATCAATACGGAGCGCTGGTGTATCCCTCCCCGTCAACAATGTGCTTTATACACCCTTATGGGTGCATATTCAGTCACAACACACACATCAAATACAGGTGAAATTAAAGAACCAATGTATATGACAGAAGTGATATCAATGCATCAGTTTGACAATAAGTTTTTCTTGACCACATCTTGATCCCTCAGAAATACGTGACAAATGGGGAACAACTGATGTGCCTTATGCCCGTGTGGGGGCGTACATGGCTAGTCGAGGAAGTCGGGATACATTCCGACTATGCACCATGGTTGGAGTGACTGGCATCAGTGGGTATTTTGGGCGCCACTTTTTGCAGGTGATTACCAGGATGCCAGTTAACCGAATCAGTGAAATGCCGCTACCTCGAGCAAGATGCTTCTTTTAAATGCATTTTGTGAAGTCAAGGTTAGATCACAGTGCGATAACACACAAGCGGTGTTAAGCCGTAAGATCAAATAACGAGGCATCGAAGGAAGATCTTAATCGGGAGGCATGGAACGTTAGTCTCCTGACTTTAGTGTATTTTTCGCTCACCTGAGATCACGACTTAGTACGACTTTTAGATATTTCATTGATGCACAGAAGTTCAGTTTGACACTATCAATACTGAGATGCGGGGTGTGCGTGAGAAGTTGCTGGTAACGCTTTTCCGTAGAAAGCGAGAAAAGAACCTCTTTACACTGATGCATCGAGTGAAAAACAACGGGATTTGGAACAGGCTGTGAGGTTGTCCAAGAAGCTTGCAATTTGGCCGATGGATTTGGGGCGGGATTGTGTACGCCAAGGATGACGTCCTCAGCATACTTTAGCTGGATGGTTTTCTTTGGAACGTGAATTGAGCTGATGTAGTTAGGAAATAGGAGTGGGGACAAAATAGTTCCTGAAGAACACCTGAATTTGTGGCGAATGGGAATGAGCTTTTCCCCTGAACCTGGTCAACTGCGTACGATTGACATTATCTGTAAGAAGAAGTACTACTAAAGGTTTAATTCCGGAAACGGTTTGCACACATGGTTTACACAACCGAAAGCATTGCTGTAATCTAGGGAGCCGATCTGCGTGGGTTTGATTTTACCATCGAATGACGAAAGCATGGAGTGTACAAGACAAGCTAGTGCATCTAAAGTGGATGTTGAACTACAGTAGGCGAACTGCAAAGGATCACTTGAAGGAGTCTGGACGAGCATTCTTTCGAGAATAATTCGTTCAAATGTCTTCTAAGCCACCGACGTACGAGGAATGTACCGGTACCTACAGGTTCTTTTCTTTGGTACAGGCGCTTCGCGAACACTGGGCTATTTTTGTTGATACAAACGCGTCGCTTACAGTTCAGAAAAAGACTGTGCTATGACATTTCTGTTGATGATTATAATAAGCTGGAGCGTTGGTATGAGCTATGTAGGAGCTGTATCTAGCGCTGCTTCTTGCGCTAATCTTATTCCATATTGCCATACGTGTGTGGCCGTTCACAGGATTGTAGTCAGCTATCGTGCACTCGTCCCTAGATTCCAGAGTGGTATCCACTCCATCTCTACCCGCGACCTTTGTGTCCGCATCCAAGGACGCGCGTGTCCCATAGCAAGAGAACTAGATGGAAAAGTTTCGTAACATTTTCCATCTTTGATTGTCACACTGCAATCTGTTTCGCTCTTTCTAGGTACTCTTCGGATGTAGATAGCTATCCGAATCGATTCGCAGTCTAGTTCTGCCGTCCTGAATAGTTCAACCAAAGATGCAGAAGATGGTAGTAGAATGCAGTGTTGGCGTAGATCAGAACCGGCAGCGTTTACTTCAGGTGCAGTCTGCTTAAGATAGTTGGCTGCTCATAATAAATCGCGATCCGCGTTTTGCTGTTTGTTGCAGTTTTGAGACGCACAACGATCACTTCAGAATTTAGAAATATAGCTACCGTTAGCTCATTGGTCGTATACCTGATGTGAACTATAGTTTCGGCGATGCGGTGGTGATAAGCAATCTGCGCACAATCCCAGCTTTTTTTCTAGTCTGTTTCCGAGTGCGAACGTTACATGTAGCTTGTGAGATAGGACAGGATGTATTAAACATTTTTATCGGCAAGACATTTCTGTATTACGGTGAAGTGGATGCGTCTTTTCACTGCGATTATACCTTACGATTCACTTCGAGTGGTGCGCCAGTGTATTGACAAGAAAGAACTAAGGTTATCCTCAACCGGAGCGTGTTTCGCTTATCTGCCTCTTTTACACATCGAATATGGCGACGGCGGCTGATACGAGATGAGATTGGATTTGGATATGTTAGTCATGGTTTTCCGGGGGCTGGATCATTGCCATAGTTTTAGTTTCTTGACTCGACATTTGATCTAGAACAGCAGGTCTTTTGAGCGAATTTGACGTGATCATGACCAATCATACACAGAGAACGTCGCACAGGACCGCGAAATACCGCATCTGTCGTCCTTGTACCTTTTTCTCTGAGATCAACTGGATTAAAACCACTCACCTTTGGTTTATATTGCACCGTTTTTGTGCGAACTTCGTTTCTCTCTTGTGCCACGAAAGAGGACGATCTCTTTACGGGAATTGAAAGTCGCAGCGTCAGAAAAAGGGGTCATCCACGGATTGTAAAGGACGTTTTTTCTGCCTATGGAGCGTGAAGTTCGCATCCGCGCGCTGATTAGTGATGTGTTGGTTCCATTGTGGTCTCTCACAGACACTCTAATTCCATTCATCGCTCTGAGTTTGCCTGACTGGGAAGAAATGCGGATTTGCAGTTGAAAAAGTTCTCACTTGCACAAGATTGTCGATCTCGTTTATTGCATACCGGGGAACTGGCTTTCCAGAGCTGATCATCCGATTTGCTAACCATAGGCGGCGAATATCTCCTTCGCTATAGGTTGTCTTGAATGCCGGGTAATAAACACTGACCCCATGAGTACGGATGCCAAGGTCATCAATCTAGAACTGCATTCGTCACTGGCTGTGAGGCACGGCTCATCGACAAATCAGGCGCTGCTGGAAGCAATGTTACTCGCGATTAATGGGACACATTCTCAAGTAGTCCGATGTAATTTCAGTTCTTAAATGAGCTCCAACCCCACAAATCCTTCGCGTTCTCCTCTCTTTTCCATGCGTCTCTTTAAAATTGCTGAAAATCGTACGCACATAACAACCACTTGAGTCCACTTATGTTGGTGCCATCCTCCGTAGTTCTCTCTCCCTGTTATCTCGACATCCGTCCATTTTCCTCAATAAACTACTCCTACGTTTTATTTATAATAAGGTTTATTTTATGCTACAGATAGATTTGCGCCAATTGGTCGCATTTGGCACACTTTCTTTCTAAAGTTACATCAGTTCTATGCATAACCTACGGAATTGCACTGTTGGGTACACTGAAGCTGGTTCGTATTACCCTCTGCCAAACACCATGGGCTGTCTCATTGTCAATTTAACTGTTTATCCACTATACCTATCTTTGGGTTCCAGTCAAGCCCATCGATCTTCTTTCGCAAACCCTTGGCGACGCCTGCTTTCTTTCTCCTTTTTTCCGTCTTGTCTCCATCAGCATTACTGTCGAGTTCTAGTGTCTTACCTGACATTGTACTGTGACCTTCCGTTCATTCTGGCTTTGATTAAATATCACCTTGTTACCATGTATACAATTTGTGCTTGGTTTTTACACGGTTCCCCGTCGTTTTCTCTACAGTTTCATACACAGCCACTGCAGCCGCTCATCGTCATCTGCTCACCTTCATCAGGGAACTCAACCTTTGTCAGTCTGTCTTCACTACTCTCGAACTCCTGATAGTCCTCGACATTTCTTGTCCAGTAAGTACCTCCTTTCCAATCATTGGTGCACAGTCTATGACTGACAGTTACGAGATGTCGCCTAAATTCTTTAACCATTAACTGCAATCCACTGGCGTTGATTTTCTATATCACAAAGGCCTACCAAGCGACGACCCAATTGTGGTCGATCTTTTCCTTTTCCTCTTAATTTAACTTGTCAATTAAATGATCCCTAATCTTATATTCATCTGCTATATCACCTGTCTACAGCAAATCCACGGCTTGTCCGGAAGTATACATTGTTCCAACAATCTTAGTTTTTCTTCTTCTTTGACCTTTTGCGCTCTTGTGATTTTTTGACGAATAGACTAAGTCTCTTTCACATGAATTGTCCGAGCTGCTTGGTCGTCACCGCTTCCTCTGTCGCCACCGAGATAAAAGCTAAAGATGATAATAACGAGCAGACTGGTCTGACGTGAATGTCGCTGCTGTCTTACCATCTCGCTGTAGCGAAGGTCTTTATTCCATTGATAATATGTATCCTCCCCTAACTCCTATATATAGGCCTAGTTCGAGAGGACGCCATCTTTTCAGTACTTTATTCTGACGACGAGGTCTGGGATGCATCGACCAAATCTACATTCTGCCTCAGCTGTTGGAGCACGGTCAGATAAATTGGCAACCCTCCGTTGTCGTGTTCCTCCACATAAAAGCAGCTTTTGATTCGGTTGATCGATGTGTTCTTTGGGACTATCTACTCAGGAAAGCTAAGCCTGAGGATTATGTAAATATTATGTGAGCGTTTTGCGCGCGTAGCTGAAGCAGAGTGAGGGCTTATGGTAAGCCTTCGCCGCACTTCAATATTTCCAGCGGTGTAAGACAAGGTTACCCACTGTCAACTTTCTTCTTTAACTTTGCCATTGACGTAGTCTTGGAAACGGTGTTCGCTGGGCACGACTTATGTGTGAAGCTGCTCCCTGATGAACTACCTCTTGACTTGGAGTGCGCCGGTGACATTGCGCTCATCTGTGACAGGTCACGAACGTGCCATCTTGCACTAGATAAATTAGCTCTGGCCGTCAGTCTTTTCGGGCTATGCTTTACATCATCGAAGTGCAAAGTTCTTCTCCAGGACTGGAAGGGACCTACTCCTACACTGACCCTTGGCGGTGATCATCTAGAAGTCGTTGAGAAATTCAAGTATCTGTGTAGCTATAACAGCACCAGTGGGACATAAGATGAGATCATGAACTGTATGACAAAAGATCGGGATGCTTTTGCCAATCTTCGCCACCTGTGGCACCGGCGTGGCATCACTCGCTCTGAAAGGCAGAGTTTACAATGCATCCGTTCGTACCACCCTCTTGTACGGTTTTGAAATCCGGTCCATCACGTCGACAGACATAGAGAGGCTAGTTACGTTCGATCACCGGTTTGTTGGGAGCACCGCGTGAACCATGAGCGTGTTCGGCGTCGCGTATTTGGTGCAGGAAGAGCGAATGAACCGCTCAGCATAATGATACGAGGCACCAGGCTCCGATGGCTAGGCCAAGCGAGTACCTGATCAAATGAGATGAAGGCCCTTACTTCGCACTTGGCCTCGGCTCCGTGGTTGGGGACCGAAGAACGATGAACACTTTTGACTTGATACACTTGTTAACATGGCTTGGAGCCGACTTCAGTGGCTTTTGTGTTGTAAGCTTCTTTGTCTCTCCCCATCCCGCTTATCCTCCTCTAATCACGATCTTTTTATTAGGCATACCATATCTCCTTTTGGTGGTACAATAGCGGGCTGCTAGCTCTCCGAAATTATCTTCATCTGTTACTGGTGAATTCCGGCGTACCACTGTTGCATGTTTTTCTTTTTTTATCAAGTATTACGGCACAATAGCTGAGGTGTTTTCCACCTCTAGTTAACGTGTATTATGATGATGATGATGATGATGATCCTGGCGACTTACTTCTCCAGGGTTTTAGCATCGCGTAGGATTGTATGCGCAATTTAGAATCGCGTTGCGTGATAGAACAGCTAAATAGTCCCGAAAGATGAAACCCATCCCTGTGAGTGCAATGGTCGGACAACTGGTGAACTAGAGTTCCAGAGCACCTAATGAAGTGACTCACAACTTACCTATCCACTGCTTGCTTCGCATTCTGTCTGGATTTCTCGCGTTGTAAAATTGCCACTGTCGTTTGTTCTCTGTTTTAACGTATGTTTACCCTATTCTAAATGTCTTTTTGCTTTATATTCCAGTACAATATGGTTAAGACACCTCAGAACGAGACCAACGAGTAGAGAGATAGTGCTTCTCCTTGGTTACGCTATTTCGCTTGGCTTTTCAGGTGATCTTTACAAACGCAATGCAACACGCAGTAGATTGAGATAATATCTTCCCCATTTGTCCATCTTTGTTAAACGCCTCGAGCCGGTCAGGAAAGCCATATCTAGGTACAGCCTCCGGGATACTTTCGAATTTCTTGACTCCGTGCAACAACTCAATCTAGCTGGACGGAAGATGTTCTCACTAGATGTGACGTCACTTTTCACCAACGTCCCGTTAGAAGAGACCATTGACTATCTCTGCTAGTTTATCCAATTGCACAACATCAACATCGGTATTCCAAATGACTGTTTAAGACAACTTATATTGGCGTGCACTAAGAACATTCATTTTCAGTTCAGTGAGACGTTTTACCGACAAATAGACGGGGTAGCTATGGGTTCACCATTGGGACCGCTACTCGCTGATGTCTTCATGAGTAAGTTGGAGAACACTCAGCTAAACGAATGTATCAACAACTTGGTTTACTACGGTCGATACGTAGATGACATATTTTGTGTTGCGGAT